TCGAGACTGATACCGATAAGATGTGCGGTGATTTCTTAATGGTGTTTTAATGGGACTAAAAACAGGATTATCTAGTTTACATTTAGGGTCTTATTTCAAAGCCAAGATACTTTAGTCAGATTACAATGAGTTGCTATATCTTGAGTTAAGTTACCTCCTCCAAATTCTGAGTATTATTTCCAACCGATTTGTCTTAGTATTCGAGGGGAAAAACCCAGATAAAAGAGTTCAACTTAAAATCCGAGATTCCACATAATTCGTAGCGAACAGTACCAAGACTAAAAAAACTATGCTGCTTACTTCTTGACTGAAAGAATCGGCGTCCAAGTAGATCTGATGTCGAATCTTGTCTTCATCAGACGACACTGTCCCAAGGGACCCCGTTTGGTTGGAAAATCCAGCTGCAGTCGCACTAGAGCCAAGGCGACGAGCTTCTCGAAGTTTTCGAAGGCTTTCCTCAGTTTTGCGCACGGATGTTAAAAGTTCAGCTAGCAGGTTTCGATAACTAAAAGATGAGTATAGCAAGATGAGAATAGTGTATGGACGGTCAAACTGCAAACACCTCGTCCTACATGGGTATAATTAGAGAACTTTTAAAGATAAAAAAAGACTCGAATAGAAAATGAAAATGAGTCAAGCATACCTTTTATTTCGTCTGAAAGACGAGTGTAAAAATTCGTAAGTCGGCCTCATCGGAAGCTGAGGATTGCTTGAGAGAATGCGGCAGATTTGTGTGAATAAGTCATCAGCTAACTGTCCCACGACCTCGATAAGTCGTTGCTGAGTTTTCTTCAGCCATGCGACGGACAGCATCAGAGCAGGGCACCATGCTTTACGATAATTTACCTAGCACCAAGACAAGAAAGGTGACCGGCTACAATCCTACCTACTTTTTTATAGCCTAGCCTTGTCCACTTAATGAGACATGCTTGAATGTGATATCCTAACTTTTTCCAATTTGGGGAAGATGCAGCTGTTCTGTAATAATTCTATCCACTTCACGCGCCATCTGCAGCTTCCGGTGAGGCCAACTTGTGAATCACTCTCGTTCGCCTCTTGAGAAGAAATGAAAGATATTTCAACATCAATGTATTCAGAGATTCTTCGAAACCCAGCTTTCCTTCATAACAAACACTTTTCATTTACCGCAATTTTTATTTTTCATTAAGCCATTTTGCATGCCATTGCATTTTGTATTCTCAGGGATTCGAAAGCAATCAAGGAGCCTGTATCCTTTTTTGCAACATCTTTATTGTGCACAGTTTGCAGTTAAGTGGAGAGGGCGGCTTGCCAACACGGGCTCAGCAAGTCGGGCCAGTGAAAAAAAATCATAATATGATTACATATTTGAAAGTGGCAAGCGTCTGCATTACTTAAGGATCAGCCTAGTAAAGCTGAATATTCCAAAGTAGCTTCGAGATAGGTTTGAACCCGACCGGTCGCGAATTGCACATAACATTCACAATTTGATTGGACAGAGCAGTCTACATACATAATCTAATTGGTAGAGTAATCTCGTCCTATATTTCTTGCTGCGTATCTACTAAATAAGATTTAACAAACGCTGACAGGGAATAGGCTGCTAAAGGGAGTCTCGACCAAACACT